TTTTTTTTTTTTTATGGTCAACTGTTTTCTTTAATATTTTCTGGATTTAGGAGACCTACACAATAGCTGAGATTGCTCAAATACAAAAACACTACCCATGCTGGGAAAAAGTAAATGTAAATTTACAAAATGTTTGGTACACTGATGGCAGGCTTCTACTTCTCACTATGGCCAGCTTAGACATAACCTGAAGTTGTACTATACAGTATTATGTAGAAACCACTTAATTGCCCAAAACTTTGTTTTCTGTAGTCTGCTGTGTTAATTTACCTGCTGAAGGGGTTGCTCGTATTACTTCTACACCAAATGGAAGATCTAGTGGTTGGCTGTAGACAAGTTTAGAGCTCAGAATGAGTTTACTGGCAGTCTGCAGGTTAGCAACCGATGAGGATCGCGTCATGGGACTTGTGCCAGGTGAGGTATCTGGAGAAGAGTCTCCAGTCTTTTGTTCAGGTACAGTAAGTTGATTCTCTGATGAAGTAACTTCAGTGGTTTTTGCTTGAAAAAAACATTATAAACAATTTGATGAGCAACTGTTCATGTGCACAGTGAAGTAAAGACATATGATACCCAAAGATCATTATCCTAGCAGTACATTAGTCATATAAAAGGTATCTGATAAACATCCAGGCTTCTCCTGTTCTACCTGGAAAATAGTTTGTTTTCACCTTTTCAAGCATTCTCATTAAGATAAAATGTCCTGTGCTTAAAGAAATTACTTTTTTGTTTAACAAAACATCTATATTATTATTGGCACAAAGTGAATTAAAACTTTCCTGAGCTCCTGCCAATCAGTTGCATCAAATATTTTTCACTGACCTTATTAGATATTTTAAAGTTTCCAATGTTTTAGCCAAGAATTTCTTCATCTGAACAGCACGGTAGAACTGAAACTGAATTACATTTCAGCATGGTCCACAATGTTTTATAAATAAAAAAGTTATATATACATATAAAACAACCTTTTCGTGTAGTGGGTAACAGAAACTATCCTCTGGCCTTTAACATGAACATTTGGAAAAACTTGCAGTTGGATTGCTTGGCAAAACTTTCAAATTTAGTGTGATCTTCTTGACTAGAGAATGCATTTAATTTAAAGAAACAAAACAACTATTTATTGCTCTCTCTGAGAAAATACTATCACTTACCTATACAAGCTTGCACAGATTTAAGATGGAGATGCCACATATGAAGAACTGAGCAGCCACTGCTGTCTTTTTCAATTACTACTAGATAAAACTTTTCTGAGAATGGTGGTGGACGATACCCTATTATTTAAACCAAATACATTATTATGAAGTTGAATGGTTAAACATAACTATATTTCAATAAAAATCATGCTCTTTGTAAAACCGGATAATATCTAAACAAGGTTTGGGGTTTTGTTTTTAGTTGTCCAAAAATATATTTGTTTGCTTATCATTTACAAAAATATAGATCTGAATAAATATGCACCCTAAAAATGACTTCACACAGTCAGGTGTTTGTATCTTGAAAATGTCCACTAGCAGTCTCTTTACCAATCATTTTATCGATCTCCCAATGGGAGAGTTTGACCTTCACAAAGCCCAAAACACACCTGGCAAATTAATTTCTAGACTTATCAGTCTTCAAGATATCATGTTAATTATTTTCTGGGCTTTATAGTTCTCTTTCCCTTTTGACCCCTTAAATGTATGAGCCAGCAGGCCTGTGCAAAGCAGCAAGTATTTGATTTGGCTTCAGATTCGGCGGATTCGGAGGGACAGTGATTTGAATCACCGTCCTGATTCGATTCAGCAGATTCAGATTTGGAGATTTGGCTGCTGAATCGGGCTGAATCTCCTCTGAATCGAACAGGCAGTGGTGGCGGGGGCATGCCAGCGGCAAGCTGGGCCCCTGCCATGGCTGCACCACCTGGCCCCAACATCCTAGCACTTAAAAAAAAAAAAAAAAAAAAAAAAGTGGGAAAAAAAGCATCCTGGGCTCACTGGCTGCAGGAGCAGCAATTGGGTTCTCTGGGGGCTTGTGGCAGAGCCCCCCCCCCATGCAGTACAGGGGTGTGGGGATTGGCCCCCCCTGCCTGGCACCCATACAGCAGCTGTTGTATCGCGTGGTTGCAGCGTAGCGTGGCAGACCGCTGCGGGGCTCTGCGTACTGTCCTGGAGCTTGGGCCACTTGGGCTGAGTGCTGCTGGCCTCTGGGTGACTGCTGGAGCCACCCCAGCTCTGGGACAGTGCGCGATCCCCCAGAGGCCATGATCGCTGCTGCTGCAGCAGCCAGTGAGTGTGGGGCTTTTTTTAAGTGCTGGGCTGCTGGGGCTGGGTGGGGCAGCCATGGGAGGGGGCTGGGTGAGCGGGTGGCGGTGGGGCTGAGCAGGGGCCCCTCATAGTCCCCTCCTGCCTCCTCCAGTCCCCCTGTACCTTATATACTGTCACAGACCTCAGGTCCAACTCCCTGTGGTGGCAAGCCCGAATCTCTGAATCGATTTGGAGGCTTCCAAATTGATTTGGAGGCTTCTGATTCGATTCAGACCTTTTAATGGGTCTCCCAACTCAATTCGGAGCCTAATATCCTCCGAATCAATTTGGCTACTGAAGCCCCATGAGCCAGCCCTTTAGTTATATCCCACTGGACTATCTGAAAAATCAAAATCATTAATCCAATGGACTAGAACTCATTATTGCTAGCTCTTGGCTTTCTTTTGTCTACTTTCCGTGCTTAAATTATAAAGTACCAATGACTCCATACGTATAAATGAGTATATTACATCAGCACCTGTTCACTTTTCCCTGTGAAAATAAACATTAAACAGCTATTTTAGTATGCAAATTGTAAAATGTTCTATGTTGTGCAAATTATAACATATTTATTTAATATTAAAATGGCATAAGTAATCGCTCATAAGACCTGTATAAGCTACATGCAATCTTTGCACTATAAAGATTCTTTATTAAAAATAATACTATTCAAATGATGCTTGACAGGTCTCAAGATTCCTTATAAATATTTTAGGCATCTTATTATTTACCAATTTTATGTTATACCTTGAGACGGTTGGAAAAATATCTCTGTTTCCTTTCCTTCCCCATCTTCCTTATGTGGCTTGTATCCCAAAATGAAATCTTCTTGAAAGACATGAAGCAATTGTGTGTTTGAGCCACACTGGAAACAATGAACAATAGTTACAATATCAGAAGCATCATGCACAGCAACATTAAATACATGTCTGATTCTTTCTATTAGGATAGATAGAAAGGATTGCCCAGTGTCCCCCTTTGTTTTCTTAATTTTTTTTGTATTTAATAGACAGAGAAAAAAAGACTAGCACCCTTCTGTCTTTAGGATAGCATATTCTAGAAGCTTTTAAAGTTGGTATCTTCAAATGGCCTTGGTGAGCTCTCTACTATGCTACCCCTGTTCTCTAACAAAGCATATTTATAGCAACTACTAACAGGCAAATTAGGAATAGCAGAATATGCCTTTAGGCTGCCACAAATATTTAAAAGGTGCCAAATGAGCTCAGCTTGCTTCCTTGCCTTAAGAAAAGTTGAATGTCTAGCCCTTTTCCATGGGAAGACAAATCTGCTGAATGTCTGCTAGGGAGGCCTACTAAAAACAGGCTGAAATTATCAACTTTCAGAAACCCTTAACAGATGCATTCTCCATATAGCAACAGATTCTTCTGCAATAAGACCCACCCACCCAGCCAGCATGGGGGTGGTCATTGGCAATGAAATCCTTCTACTTAGACAAGCAATGCGTGGCTCAGAGAAAGATGGCAAAATATTCACATGCATGCCTATCCCATCCCGTTCTTCCAGGAGGAAGATGTAGTAGCTTTTTCTGCTATGGAGATTTTCTTACATTCAGCCAGGATGAAATCAGCCAACGCCAAGTGACTCATGAAAGAGCATAAGCAGCAAGGGATGCATGATTTTCATGAGCACCATTAAAGAGACAGAGAGACATAACTGTTCATAGAAGACTGGAGGGATTTTTAATCCTTGTAATATGTAACATGAGCATGAGTCAAAGACTCATTATTCCTCAGCTTCTTACAATTCCTTCAGTTTCTGCAAATACTCTGATACATAATATTCTTCAATATCATACGTATTAATATATTTCCAAATTTAAATTTCTGCAAACATTTTTAAAGCTATACAAGTCCCCTTTGCTGTAGATATCAATGAGGTCTACATTGGGCCTGTAAGTCATCTTATCCTGACTGAGCTGCCCCAGGTCCAACTGTAGAAGCTATGAAAGGACACAACAGGATTCAAGACATGGGCCTTATAAAAGGTTCAGAAGCTAACTTAGTATGTGTGAGGAGCCCAGAAAAAATAGAAGAGCACATGAATTACACTTCTGGATTACCTAAATGTATGTATGGATAAATTATCTCACTTTTTATACTTCTATGCTATCAAGGCAAAGGTAAAGCCATACAGATGTCTTCTGCTCTGATTTCTACACTTTTTGAATATTTGGGTTTATTTTGAGTAATTCCATTTCTTTTTCTTTTGACTGCAACAATGATCTAGTAAATTATTCTTCATCTAATTTTATTTTTAACTTAAAATTATGCCTGGGGAATAGTACTTCATAAGACTTTGTGGCCTAGGTCTTTAAATCTCCCATTAGCAACAAATAGCTGTACAACTAAAACGTTCAAAATATTCTAAACTCACAAGCATTCATTTATGGGGGAAAATAATTAGTCTGAACTAATTCACTGAAAGATTGTTACAGCATCTCAGAGAAACAGCCAATTTGAATATTTTATTTCCTTAATTACTGGGTGGGAGGGAGGAGAGGGTAATAATTTAACCCCTGCAAGGGGAACATCAGCTCTGCAAGTATGGTAGTTCACTGGGTGCAATTCTCAGAAGATTTTGGACTTGTAGTAAAATACTTCTCAATTTCTATAGCAGTTAAGGAAATTTCAAGTGTTCAAATAATTCTAAAAAATTAAGTCAGGTTGAGATATTTCTCTGATTTTAAGTTTAAGCTGCCTTAGTTCTCTATAAGCAATATGCATGGAAACACCATGTATTATAAACTTTCCTTGGAAATATAGCATCTTCATGTTAGCAAGTTAAAAGTAAACGGAGTTCTCTGAAGATAATTTAATCATATGTTACCAGAAATCCAAGTGGTTCTCAAGGGGCTCACTATGATTGAACAGAAATGTCCTTTCCTCTACCTATTAATTACTATTTCTTTTCAGTAGATTAGGTTAATTATCAGACAAAAACATAAAAAAACCCATATCTAACGCCCCTTCATGGTTAATGAGATATTTACTTGGTTAGTTATTGCATCAAGTTCAATAATGCATCCTGGTCGCGCAGTAGATTGTTGGCTCACAATGTTAAATACTTCTCCAATCAGTTTCTGAAAGAGAACAAAAATAAATTAAATGATCAGGACATTATTTATTCAAATAGCAGCAGTTATAACTAGCTGAAAATACTATTGTTGCCAGCGTTGGCCCTTTGCAAGGGGACTAGGACAAACTGCAGCGGTATGGCTAAGCAGAAGGCACCAAAGCCTGTTTCTGAGTTACCACAGCATGAACCTTTGCAGATGCGACAAGGAGCTTAGTCAGCAAAGTAAAAGAAGCCATGCATATATCTAACTAAACCAGTAATGAGCTACTATTAAACAAAGCATAAGGCTTGAAGACCATATATTAAATAATCCAAATATACCATATCATAACTTTATCTTAAAATAGTAGTAACAATCAATGTAACCAGATGCATTGGATATTATTTTGCTATAATACTAGGGCTGCAGCCAATATGTTGGCTATTGGATCAGCACTGATGAAAGGAGAAATGGTGTTATTGGTTATCGGCTTTTTCAGATTGTTGCAGCTGGTAATTAGGGCCATGTGCCTGGAGCACCTTGGTGAGCTTAAGTCTGGTCTGGAGGTACACCAGTACATCAGTCTGATATAGGGGCTGATAATTTAGCTGATAAATACCTGTGCGAGCAGCACAACTGGCAGCATGGAGAGCTGCCTCCAGCTGGCAAGTCCGGTGTAGTGGAAGGAGAGTGGCGAGGTAAGGAAACTGGTTAGCACCCCCCATGTTGAGGGAGGGGACAGGGGCAGGCACTGCCCAGGCAGGGCAGGAGGCATGGAGCTGTTTGTTGGGGGGTGAGGAGGCAGCTCCTGCTGCTGCTTGCACCCCAGGAGGGCATGGGGGGAGGGGGCATGTGCCCCCAGATCTGGGTGGGGCAGGCTGCAGCTGGGGCTTCACGGAGCTCTTTTCAGCAGGGGCTAGGTGTGAAGCGGGCACTGGAAGGATGCTGCATCCACCCCAAATTTTAGTTGCTGCTCTGCTCCTAGTGCCGCTGCCGCCAGCCGCAGCCCCGGCTCAATGCCTTCCCGTGCAAGCAGTGGTGGGAGCCGCCCCCCTCCCCACGAGCCATGGGTCCAGCCCCCCCCCACCATGGGGGGCATTGATTTGCCCTCCCTATGCTCCTTCCCTCTCCCCTCCTTTTCCACCACACCAGACTTCCCAGCTGGAGCCAGCTGTATTGGAAATCGCACTGGTATCAGTCGATATGCTTGCTTAAATATTGGCCATTGGCATCATCTCCAAAAATCTCTCAGTGCACCCCTAGTCTGGTCTCTGAGCCCCCACTACTGGTCGCAGCAAGCAGGAATCAGGGGAGCCGGGGAGTGGTCACAGGGTACCAATCTCAGCAACAAAAGGATAATTACTGGCTCCTGCTGCTGCCGCCATGGCAATGCCACGCATACAGCAGGGGCCTGAGCACTGGGGCTGCCATGGAGGCACTGGGAAGAGCATGGGCGGGGTAAGACACTGCACAAGGGACATCTGCTCCACCACGCACCAGGTGCCTTTGCAAAAGCAGCTTCTTCCCAGCAGCCACGGGTGTTTGACTGCATGGGCCCTGCTGGTACTGAGGCAGAGGCATGTTCTGGGGCTCCAAACATACCCAGCACTCCTGTCTGTGGTTCTACCTGCCCACTCAGGATGACAGCATGGGCTGTGTAGAAGCAGGGCTGTGGGCAGGCGCTGTGGGCAAGGGGGTGATGTGCGTGGGAATAAGGTGGTTACCACCTTCCTCATCAAGGGCCAGAGCAGGCAGGAGGCATGTATGTGTTATAATTACAAAATAAACAAAAAAGGCTTTATGTCAGTAGTTTAAAATGCCTTGCACTATTACTAAATATTGGTTATTGGAGCGACATCGGCCGATATGGTTGGTGAATCATTGGCTATCAGTATTGGCCAAGAAAATTTTTATTGGTGCACCCATATATAAGGCATATTTTATGTTAAGATGCTTAGAAAGGATAAAAGAAACCCTCCCCTTTACTTTCTCAAATATATAAATCCCAAATAACTGATTCACTGAAAGATTGTTACAGCATTTCAGAGAAACAGCTGGTTTGGGCATTTTCTTTCCTAATTATTGGGGGGAGGGAGGTAAGAATTTGACTCCCAATGGGACCATCAGCTCTGCAAGTATACTAGTTAACTGGGTATAAATCCCAACTAATCTATACCTTCCAAGTCCACAAGAGATCTGGTTCAGTCCAGTTCCAAAAGTTTCAGTGAAACAAAGCCATTTATAATATTAGAACCAGGCAACTATAAATATTGGGTATAAGCTGGAGGGAAATTTGGAGAACTCAGCAAATTCAGGAAGACTTACTGCCAATTTTCATGCTACCTTCTTTCTACTTCTCATATCTCCTCAGTAGGTATAAGTGAGAATCTATGTTGTCCTGTCTTGGGTAGGTAAGTAGACTTTGGGATAAATGTGTGTTTTTATGTTTTAAAGTGCAAGCAAATAAAAAGTTGGGCTGTTGACCTGTTTCTGTCTTTTATCAGTAGTTTGCCCACAAGGTTACCTGTAATCTGGGTAACACGATTACATACTGTAGTTTGACACTAAGTTCCTTGTTGGCATACAGTTATATTTTTCTTTCTGTTCATGTTGTTGTTTAAGAATACTGAAATATTTGTCATTTTTTGTTGTTTTGAGTCTATACCTAGTTGCAAGCAAAAGCACTTCATACACATAGATTTTTATAGACACTGCATGTTGGTTATTTAAAGGTTTCTCCTTTCATAATGCATGCTTGATGACGAGTCATGATTTTCTGCACATTGGGAAATTCCAATCTACTGCTCACTCTTCCTTAATGCTTCAACTTTTGTCACTGCACTTAAAAATGGGGGAATACTGTATCTGGTAAGAATGTCTGTTGGGAAAAGACTACTTCATCTTTAATATTTAAGCCCTAAATCTATATTAGCACATCTATTTAAAGAATGGAGCTGCTGTCTGTAAGTCTCTTTTGCTTCTGGCATGCGAGTTCTATTTGAAGGAGATTCAATATAATGCTGTCTTTTCTCCAGTATTAAATACTACGAATGTGTCCATATTCTTTTCTGTCAGAAGTTGTAACGAATAAAGAGAATAAAAAAAATAAAGACAATAAAAAGTGCTAATGGGGAGCAGGACCTAAGGAAAGACCAGGGATGACTGGAGCTAATAGAAAGACAGGATGAGGTAAGGAGCTAACAGAGGGAATATGAGATGATCTTAATTCTTAGCAATCCCTTACCCAGCAGCTCCATCAACTCCCCCCAGAGATTCCCTTGATTAACTCTAAGATCTCCCCATTCTACTAGCTTCTTAAGATGCTTTTACTCTTCTTCTTGGGGTAAAAAAAAAAAAAAAAAAAAAATGAGGGTTTACCTCTTCAAGCACATCTGGTATTACCACTTGGGGAAATCCTAGTTGCTATTGAATCCCCTCACACTAGTATTAAAGCCAGAATTTTTTCAGAATTGATGGGTATGGGTGTGCTTATTAAAATTATGCAAATAGTTAAATTTGTTTAAAATACCATACATATAACCGCACAAAAACCTTGTGTGTAAAATGAAATGAAAATATCAGAATGAGAGCTAGATTTGTTTTTCCCATTTCAAGGCCCTCAAATCAATATCTATATAAACTTACTGAGGATTCAGGGTCAGACAGTTCATCTAGAAGTTTTCGTGCATCCACTACAGCTTGATAAAGCCTCAGGTTTTTGCCATCTGATGCTACAAAACAAGCACTAGCAGAATTGCAGTATGTACCTGATTCAAAACACCAAACACAAGTTTTAGAATTAAAGCAGATTATGACAATAATTTGTTGAAACAATATTGAATAACCAATTACAATCTATTTTACTGCATAAAAATAATATTTTTAAAGTAACAGACTTCAAATAATAAAATAGATTATTTAATAGTAGGAATAAGTAAACAGTTAAAACACTGTGAAAGTTTTGAATCTGAAATAACCTCATTTCCTATTCTATTTTTGATGATGAATTTATTTATATATATAGTTCAACAAAATGAGCAGAACTAGTAATGATAAGCGTATTGCTTTAGATAAGTCCCTTCTCATGTGTAAAGATGAATAAGTATTACTCGGACCTTACTAGGTATTACTTGGGACTTCAACAATATAATGAAACAAGAAAACAAATAAATATGGCCTCCTATTGTTAGAAGTACTGATATAAAGGAGAAAGGACAAAATTATCCATGGTATATCAAATGACCTTCAGTGGAAAGCGGGATAAATGCTTACATTTTGTGCCTTCACGTAATCTATAAAATATGTCTGATGCCAGGGGTTTGTTAAGTTAAAAAAAAAATTCTGCTTTACTTTTTATGTTAGGCCTAATTTGGCACCTGTATGTGTTCCCGATGTCTGCTCTGATGCATTCTAATTAAAACAGGTAGCAGCAGACTTGATTAATCGAGACTGCTGGAGCTTTCTAATTAGAAGGCTCCAGCAGCCCTGGTGTCATGTATATTCAATGTCCCCATGTTTCAGAATGGTGGCAGGGTCACTTTTGACAAAAGCTCATCAAATGAGCTTTAAAATGCTCCTGCTGCCATTTTGAAGTGTGGGACACTGAATACAAGATGCTTCGGACATTTTAATTACAGCAACTCCAGAGAGCTGCTCTAAATAACTCTGCGCCCTCCCTGCACATATAAAGACACCCATTAAGTCATGACTTAATTATAGTGGCATAGAAATTGGAATTTGGAGAGAGATTTTAGTATGTTTTTGAAATTCTGAGATTAAAAAAAAATCTACTTATCTCAAACTCTTGAAAAAAAATGAGTTCTGAAAAAATTAGGATCCATTATTAATATATCAAAGGCAGAAGTGTCAAAGATTCAGCCCACAGGCCAGATCCAGACCTATCATTTGGCGCATGACCCATATGCCAATCTGCAAGCTTTTTACTGAGTGGATCCTCTTTCCTTTTTTTACTAACATGTTTTTATTGATATGTTGTACATAATATAAATATAACCCCCTCTGCCAGACCCTGGATGACACTAACATGGGCTGGGTTCAAATTTAGGGATCTAATACCAACTTTTAAAGTCTAGCTCTTAGCCCCACAGCTTCATCCTGCCCCACCATGCCCTTTCCCGTACTGCCCAGTGCCTCAAGGAGCCCAGAGCCACACAGCCCTGCCTATCTTTGAGGTGAGGCTGACAGGACACAACAGCAGGTGGCTGCTTGCAGGGCATCAAGCTACACTACAGATCAGACACAAGGGGTGCAGACAGAAGTGCAGCTTCCAGCTATAACTCAGAACGTTTTCTGCAAAGCAGTTTGAGTGATGCTACCCCAGACCAAACAGAAGTTCACTCTTGGTTCCAGGGGGGAGGAGAATCTAGCTGCAGGCTGGAAGCCTGCAGCCAGGTTCCCATAGCAATGTCCATGGCTCTTTGCCAGTGCTCCCTACCTTCAGAATGGGATGGGGGAAAGGCAGATCGCAGGACTGAGTCATGGCTTGCTGGGGGTGGCTCCCTCAACCACTTGCGGCCCGGGAGGTGGGGAGGGGGCATGTGCCCCTGGTTATGCCCAGTGCCTGGTGGGCGGGCTGGCTGCAGTCGGGGCTGTGCTGGGCTCTTCTCAGCGGGAGCTGGACTCAGGACAGGTGGCAGCTGGGCAGGGGGCTACAGAGGGGGTTGCAGCCACCCCAAATTTCACCTGGCATGTGGGTGGAAGTGGGGCGTTGAGCTGGGGTTGCACTGGACAGACGGTGGTAGCACTAGGAGGGGGCTATGGGGAGGATATGGCACTATTTGGGGTGGCTGGAGCCCCTTTCATAGCCCCCCTCCCAGCACCACCACCTCCCATCCTGAGCCCAGCCACCACTGAGAGGAGCCCAGGACAGCCGTGGCTCCAACCTGCAGCTACAGTCCACCCACCTTGCCCCATGCAGATCTGAGGGTGCGCGCACACACACACACACACACACCCCCCAATGTCCCCCCGGGGTGCACTCAGTGGTGGGAGCCACTCTCCCTGTGGACAGGCCGTGGCTGTCCCACGCCTTGCCCTACCCTGCCCCACCCTGGCTGGGCAGCACCTGCCCCAACCTCCTCCCTTCTTCCCTCAATGGGACGGGGAGGCATTGATTGCCCCTCCACGCCCATTTTCTCCCCCCTCTTTCACCACAACAGACCATGCTGCTGGGCTGTGCTCCTCGCTGCCTACGTGCTGCGCTGTGGCTGTGCGCACACATGGGCATTTATTGGCCAAATAACTGGCCACGTTGAGCCGATTTCTGAGACAGCCAATTTATATTGGTACCAATCTGATATTGGACCGAAGTATCAGTGCACCTCCACTTGAAACGTCTTCATCCGATACCTCATGCAATGAGGGGGTGGATTTTCACTTGTTTGGCAATTTTTTAAGATGTCTGCAGCTGTGCAGCAGTGTTTGGTCACAGCTATAACTGCTTTCTGTTGCCAGACTGGGTGAAAATTGTTGTTTCTGTCTGCACCCAAGGTGATATTGCTCTGCTCTGCTCTGCCACTCAATCAACATTTGCCTCATTCCAACAACAGGTCTTCAATCAAGTTTATGCTTCCTTAGGTTTTTTTTTTTTTTTTTTTTAAATGGATAATCCCTCCTCCTCCCCACACCTTTTTTTTTTTAAAGCAGACTTCAGACTTTATGGACCAGCATTTTGAACTTTTCTTGTTTTTTTTTTTTTTTTAACTCTTCATAAATTTATGGATGGTCGTCAACCCTGGTCCACGTCACATGCAGTGCACACTGGCCCGTCCTGGCCCTGCATGCTGCACACGGGTCCAATCTCAGGATATGCATTGCATATAGAATGCAGGGCCAGCCCAGGATATGTGCTGCGTGTGGTATACAGTGTCAGTCTGTAGGCTTGAAGACTAGCCCTAAGCTACTCATCCAGCCTACAGAATCAGATGAGTTTGATAGGCCTGATCTATTGTAAAGAATGTGTTGAAAACTGAACTTTTTTTTTTTTTTTTTTTGGAGGGGAAGACAGAAACCTGTAACATAAAAATACTACAAAATAGTGAAGATTTTACTGGTATTTTCAGGTCATTTTTATAGTCTTGAAAACTGAGAAGAGAGAGGAAGAGAGAATCTTAGACCCCAAAAGACCAAAAAGCACTTAAATAAGAGTACTCCTTTAAATTTTAGTGATGGCAGTATTAAAATGCAGTGGCTGAATTTATCTTTAATTAACACCTTAGTTCAGCAGTTAAAAGCTTACTTTGAAAATTGTTTTTAGAAGGTGGCACAGTATATTACTAAACTTGATTAATCTAATGCTTATCCTATTCTCTGCCTGCACAAAAATCTTGAGGCTTCTGCATTAAAAAGCCATGGGCTGCTTATAGATGTTAAACAAACAAACCCTCCTTCCCCCCAGAAAGAATCAGCACATTAATTGGACCTGGTTCTGAAGAGTCTGTATAGCTTGGGCACTTCAGTAGGGCTTTTTGGAGGGTATAGCTAAAGCCGATTCAATCAGCTATTAGATAAAAGTGCAAAAAGTGCCCCACTAAAGCTCCCGATCTATACAGATGTTGGGCTAGCCAGGTCCAACTAACACAATGCCTCTTCTGGGCATGTGTTGGGCTTGGCATTTTTGTTTTTTGTATAACACCTGTAAGCACACTATGTCTATTTATTAAAATCACACAGCTTTACGAGCAGGCTTCTGTAAAGGACAGGCCACCAGAAGGACTTCCATAATGCATGAGAGTTTCCAAATGGAAGAAACCAACATAGAAATGGAACAGTGCAGCAGATTTAAGTCTCAGGTTTAAAATATTCTTTATATATTAGGAAAATGATTAAGATATACTGGATTTCTAGCATATATACCAAATCAATTTTGGAACTACATTCTTATTGCATTGCTTATTATGTAAAAAATAAAAAAAGGTTAATCACTGAACAAACCAGATGCTAATTCTTTCATGAATTTATCCTACTCAAAGCAAGAGCTTGTGAGAATTATTTCACAGTAAAAGTAACTTTTCTTCAAAGGACAATGGGAGATATTGTATCAGCTGTAATAATAATGAAACTCCCCTACAATTATTCATAAAAACATTTAAATTTCCCATAATAAAAGTTATCTTCAATAGTTGCAATTCAAATTCAAACACACAGTTTTAATTAAGTGATACGTTAAAAAAAGAAAAAATGTATTAGTAAAATACAAGGGAGTTTGTTTTGCCTAATGGTAAGGACAAACTGCAATAAATATATCCCAATGATTTCATTTAAATAGGTTATATTTGTAAGTCCA